ATTCTACGCTCTTGGTTCCATTCAGAGTTGGACTAGGGCGTCAAGGCAAGGCTTAGCCTGGAAGCAGCCTGCGAGGCTTGTTAGGGAGGATCATCGGCGTTTCCCTCCTGGTCACCTGCGGGCTATTGTGAGGATCGAAGGATGGGATCGGCAGAGGCTGTCTCTTCACCTGCTTTTCCTTTTCTGGAACCTGTCGTAGTCGACGACGAAATGGGTAATCCCTATCAAGACACAGATATGGACTTCTTGGACTCTGCAAGGTTACAGGTTTCGTCCGAAGGCGCGGGCAGGGATTTCGATGACCTCTTCTCTCACGCTCCTTCCACCCGCCAGAGCCGCGACTCGGAGCCAACATGCTTGTCGCCATCAGAACTATCGCTGAAAAACTCCTATCAAGAACAAGATGCAATGCGACAATTCAACGTGGTCTCCGCCGAGTCCCCCGCCGAGTCTCCGGATGGCTCAACACCAAGTTCGTCTTCTGAGTCACCACGCAATCATCTTCGGAACCCGTCCGTAACGTCTTCTGCATCGGCAGTTCATAGCGAAAACACGATGATGCCCTTTGGCTACGCAACGGAGGACTGGATGAACCCGGATCTCGCGTCGGTCAAGGAGGAATCGCTTTTTGGCCTGGATCTTTCTCTTCCGAATATGGACGGCCCGTTTCACGCGGACGCAGACCTTGAATCAAGTAATAAGGCCATGGATGCAGCATTTGATTTTGAGAGTGCCGCCAGTAGCCCTAGTCCTCTGAAAGCCGAGACGACACCGCAGCCGAAATATACGAGGAAACCCAAGTCTCAATTGCGAAGTACGTCGGGCGCTTCAGCTAGGCAATCTGCGTCTCCGGTAGGTCTTCATCCTATGTTCTGCGATTGTAACGAACTGACGCCCTGATGTGCAGATTCCTGGCACGGCTTTCTTTCCTCGAAGTACCAAGGAAGCATCTCCCTTCTCAGTCTCCCGAAGTATCAGTCAGGGAAAGTCTACGCTGGGCCCATGGGGCGGTCATTCTCCGTCATCGATCTTGGAGGAAAGCTTTGGTGGTATCAACATGAATGGCTCTCCCATGAACTCGAATCTGAGTTTTGGACCAAACAGCTTTCCTTTTGGCATCAACTTCGCGCCGTCCCCTTCTCCAAGCTTCATGAAACCGGAGCCAACACAGCGTCACTTCCTGACTGTCCACCCCACATCGCTCAAGTCGCGCGTGGAGACACAGATTCCCATCAGACTGACGCTTTTCCCGTTGCCGACCGGCGTGAAGAAAGTACGACTGCCTAGTCACACAATCTCAAAACCCAAATTCTTGGCGCCGCCGACCATCGAACGTTCTCCGGAGATTGTGGAGCTTTATACAAGCCTTGTCTGTACTAGCGCAATGCAAGAACAGGACAAGCTCAAGAAAGCTTTCGCGAGAGCAAGAGGCGAATCTCGATACCGGTCCTCTAGCTCCAGCCCACGTGCTGCCGATGACACTCAGGACGAGGACAAACCATTAGATGGAGGAGAAGTTAAGATCTGTCCTGGTTGTATACAGCGTGAACGAAAACGGGCGTTCCGGAAGAAGCAAAGGAAGCCAGAGGAAGACGAACTTTTCCAGAAGGACGAGGAGAAGCGAGTCATCGTCTTTAACACCAACGAGATTAAGGACTGGACCGAGCCTTCGAAAAACGCCATACCTGGCTACGGGGATGGTCAAACCCTGAACATTCCGGCTGGGGCTATGCAGGTCGAACTGCCGATGCGAATAGCATGTTATTGCAGGCATCAGAATGAGAAGCTTGGGTTTCAGTACGACCGCCTTTCCATATTTATCATTGATTTGTTCTTGGGAACTCGGGCTGACATTTTCGATTTAGGGTAATTTTCACTGTTAAAGATCACAAAGACAATGTCATCGCTCAGGCGATCACAAACTCAATCATGATCACGGACGACCACAAAACCCATGCTCCTCCAGCTCCGCCAGCTCCTGGTCCCTCACCCTCTTTGCCGGATGGAACCCAATTGCCAGGCGTTGGGGTCTTTCCCTCGAGTCCTAGTGTGGAGACAGGCAAAGCGCCAGCTTCTACACAGCAGTCGAATCAAACGGCTTCAGCGACCGACTTACAGGGACTCCAGCAACGTTTCAATTCGCAGTATCAGTTGCCTTCTAGCTCGTTTTCAATTTATCAGTCGTCAGCCAATGGCACAACTTCAAATTCGCAAACACCGCGCAGTCTCTCGAGGCAGACCTCGCCGAATGACTTTCAAGGCCCAATGAGCAAGAGACGCAAGCATAGTAACTCGGGAAGACTTCCCTCAGAGCTTACCATGACCAAGTTAGAGAATACGCAGCCATCAGCTAACACTTCCAACTCCACGGCGCCCAGTACCGAACCACAGTTCTCAGGGGCCCGCGGATTTGCGTCACCAGTGGAAAGGCCTTTTGTGACCTCTGCCGCCATGTCCAGCCAATTCCCCAATAGCCCTCCAACGCCGAACAGTGGGGACAACAATCCCTTCCTGAGTGTACACCCACAAAGCTTGGACAGTTTTATTCAGCAGCAGCTAATGTCTGCACCAAACTCCGCTCAGCCCAGTCGTCCCGGTACTCCAGGCGGCTCTAGGAACAACTTTCACGACCAGTCTTTCAATTTGTCACTCGGTCCAAACACGTCTGCTCCCATGTGGCCACCGCTCAGTAATGCCGGAAACCGGCTGCCCTCAGTCATCCACAAGGTCGTTCCCGCCGAGGGTTCCATCACTGGAGGCACTGAAGTTACTCTGCTGGGAAGCGGCTTCTACCCTGGCATGGAAGTTGTATTCGGTGACACCCTTGCCACTACCACCACATTCTGGGGCGACAAGTGTCTCAATTGCTTGACCCCTCCTGCACTGCAGCCTGGAATGGTGCCAGTGGTGTTCAAGCACGAACATCCCACATTTGGTCAAATTCAGACGCCTCAACCTCTGATGCCGAAGCAGCAGCAATTTTTCCGTTATGTGGATGACCGTGAGCTGCAGATGTACCGACTAGCTCTCGGAATCCTGGGACAGAAGCTCGGCAGTCAAGCAGATGCGTTCCAAACGGCCCAGCAGATCATGGGTAGTGATATGAAGAGTGTTTTCAATGTTCCCCAGGATTTCCAAGGAAACTCGAGTGGACATCAGCGACAAGTGCCTGGGTATGAATCGCAGGGTAAATTGAGCGATCTTGATTCGAAGATGTTGACTTATCTCGAATTTGTCGACCTCGACGATAGCCCTCGTCCACCCAGGTACAACTCTCGCTCGGCGACAGGCCAGACGCTGCTCCATTTTGCGTCGTCCCTGGGACTCACGAGATTTGTTGCTGGACTCCTTGCACGAGGTGCCACCCCCGATGTGCAAGACAATTCGGGAAATACCCCGATGCATCTGGCAGCTTTGAGCGGCCATGCACACATTGTCCAGCGGCTGCGCCTTGCGGGGGCCGAGACCACTGCTCGCAGCATACGGGGATATACACCCGCAGATTTGGCGACTACATTACCCGCGCATCAAGCTGCCCTCATTCCTGCCCGCCACCGCTCACGCAGCGTTGGCTCACTGTCATCTTCACGCCGCAGACACAGTTCTGCGTCCTTGCATTCCCTTTGGGAATCCTCATCAGCATCAGGCTCCTTTGGTCATGCTGTAGATGACTCTGACGACGAGGATGATGAAGAGGATGAGATTGAGTTCACCATGTCGCGGCGGTCCAGTCTGCATCATGATCGACCAGGGCCAGTCCCTGCGCCTGAACAGCCACCTCAAGCGGAGGATACGAGGCCATTCTCTCCCCCAGCTGCTCTACTTGCTTGGCGCAATCAACTCCAGACTCAAATCAACCAGTTCCAGCAAAGTGTGGCCAACGCCTTTCCCAACCTACCTGCTCTGCCGCCGATGCCTGCCTTACCTGACTATCAGGCCATGCGTCGCATCACCAATCTAGTCCCGCACAGGCCAAGTACTTCACGCTCGTCTAAGGATGGCTGGTGGGATATGCTTACCGGCAACTCGGCTCCCGACAATTCAGCACCAACCACGGCGGAGCTACCCTCTTATGAGGAGCTTTACCCACACCAAGAGAACCAGGTCGGAGAGGATGAAGCGGCACGTCTAAAGAAGGCCAGCATGTTACAAGCGGCTACAGAGGCTGCCCTTGACCAGCATTTCGAGGCTCAGGCGAGCACCTCAGAGGCTGTTCTGACCAAAGCGGACAGCGAAGAGCTCAAAGACATTCGGATTGGTCGCAACGTGATCTCCCGCGAACAGCAGAAACATCTCCGAGAGCAGCAGGCACGGAGGATGAAGGGTCTTGGAAATGATCGCAACCTTTACTTCATCTGGGTAAGTCTCAACCTTGCATTTCTCTCTTTTTTTCCATCGCTTATTGTCTTTAGATCCCTCTCCTACTTCTGGTGATCGGTGCCTGGGTCCGTAGCTACGTTCCGGGAATTTGGGAAGGAATCTACAGCGGCTACGAATTTCTCAGAGCTCGCTATGCGCAGCACGTTCTTGAAGTCGGTTCTTGAACGATTTCACACCACCATCCTTACACTAACATCTTTTTGACTTATTTCTTACCCTTCATTTGAGCTGGGGCGTTACGTCCACTGGACTGGTACTATAACGGGCATTTGTCAATCCTTGTTTACTTGCGTGTGTGATGTTTTTATAATGACTGGATATGATGGGTCTATTTCTATTCCACCTGGTTGTTCCTGATGCCTTGTTCATCATATTCACATATTCACAAGCCTTGTCGTTTTACATCGGCCCTGTACAGAGACATTAGTTTTTTTGGGCGATTTTTACTCATTCATTTATAGATGTAATGGAATACAATGATGCATAACAATTACTTGAAGATGATATAGACGTATGTATAAGGACTTGGGCCCTGGAATGCCAAGAGATGCCGGCTGGGGAACCAAAAGGCGGTCTTGCGGCCAACATCCGCCCCCCATCATCATCATCATCATCACCATCACACTTCCTGTCCGATCATTGCATCCAATTCCTCTTTCCTTCCCCCGCACCCCCGTTTGAGAAAGGGGGATTGAAAATCTTCAACTCCTTAGCTGCCCAGGCGGTATGCTATTTACAACCCGCTTACCTTTGTCCGAATAGTGCTAGGGACACCATGGACCCATCACCGCAGGGGGGCTCGAGCAGTGTCACCGGTAAATAAGCCCCGTTTCCCGCTCGAAGTACTTGTGCTACACGCTGCTCACTTCTCACCTCGCTGTTGCTTGCCAGTCGAGTATACCGATCCCTCCGGGCTCTTCCCCGACGTCCAGTCTGTTCTCGCAGAAAAGCTCCCGCTCAAGAATCTCCACTGGAAATCACCAACTCGCCCCGTTCGATCCATCGAGTCCCTCCGAATCGGATTCGTTCCCGCCCAGCATGAAGCGGACGAGCAAAAGACCTCCACCGATACGACCGGCACCGCAGTGACACATCGCCGGCACCAAATCCCTGGCCTGCGACAAACGCCCTACCTGAAGATCTTCCTTCTCCGATGCGACGACAACGACACTTACAAAGCTACGGCGCGGAGGGCGCTGCGTGATTGGATCAAGTCTCACGCCTCCACCTCGCTATCCAACACCACCACAACCAGCCAAGAGAAGCACGATGCCTTCGATTGGCTCATCCTACACGTCGTGCAGGATGGGGAGAGCGCCGAGAAAGTCGCCCCAGCCTCGAAATGGGGACGCACCACTACCACGGTCTTGGAGAAGGTCCGGGCGGACTTCAATGGCGCATCCAAGTCCGCCGTGGATCGCGTGGCGCAGATCCGTCTGCCTAAGCCAGGAAGCGTCGTCAAGCCGCCGGAGCTGGCTGATCAGGTCGAGGATATCGTGGAGAAGATGAAGAACGCGATTCTGTCGGCGTTTGACCTCCGCGTGGCACAGTATGAGGAGGATATCAAGGAGAAGGACTCGCAGCGCAGCTTGCCCGGATGGAACTTCTGCACTTTCTTCATACTGAAAGAGGGACTCGCGAGGGGCTTCGAGAATGTTGGGTTATTTGACGACGCCCTGCTGGGGTACGATGAACTCGCCGTTGGCTTGGATACCGCAATCCATGAGCAATTGGAGGGCACCGGGGAACAGCATGGCAGTGCTTTCCTTACCCACAGCAAGGACTGGCAGGAGACGGCAAAACAGGCACTGGAGTCGGCGGGTGACGCTGTGCCAAAGGATGAAGATCCGGCTGAGCCAGAACCAGTACCCAACCTTGAGTCCGGGGACTTTCCTATCGACTCCAACAAGAAGCCCTATCGGGAGATGATTTTGGCCAGCAACATCTCGATTTTTGACTTCCGCACATATGTTTTCTCCCGGCAGGTCACTTTGCTTCTCCGGGCAGCCAGGGCGCCATCTTTGGCCGGTCTCGAAGCGCATGGGAACAAGAAGCAGGTGAAGAAAGCCACGAAGGCTGAGAACTTGATGCTGCTTTCTCAGGTCTGCGACAGGGCAAATGAGTTTATTAGTCTCGCGGCACGAACACTGAGGTCTGATCTTCACACGGGCTTGGCTGAGGTGGACCACAGTGCCGCAAAGCAAGAGGTGATCGACAATATGGTGTCGTCGTGGGTTTATGCTGCTGCTTCTCAGATTCTCTCTCAGACCTTCACGCCAGCTTTGACTCTTCCGGAGACTACCTGCCACGTCGCGAACAGGGAAGCAGGGGCTTCTAGTTCCGCTGAAGCCACAGGGGAACTTCCTAAACGTACTAGCTCGCTCATGAACTCTTCTGCCGCTCGTTCTTCTCGCCCTGGAACATCGGAGGTCATGTCATCCGAGAGCCTCTCGGTTTATGCTCGACCGGGCTTGGAGGTCCCGAAACCTACCCCCAAAACCGGTTCCGAGCAGTTGGCTTCCGGGAGGGGAGACCTATACCTCATGGCTCGACGAGCCTTGGAAGGAGTATCTGGCAGATACGGCTGGAAAGAGAAGTGGAATGAAGATCGCTTACTATTCGATGATGAGAACAATGCAGAAAACGACATGGCGGAGGTCAGCCTGGATGATGAATCGCCGGAATCCACGAAAGACGCGCCGGAGCCAAGATATCTGTGTGGCATCGCTCTTCCGGGACTGAGAATCGCGCTTCGCTCAAGGAGAGCTTTTCGAACGCATTTCGAGGACCTGACAGACCAGATGTATCGGCACCATATTGCTGCTAATCGCACCAACTCAGCCCACGCCGCACTCGCCGATATGGCCCTCCTACGGTATCGGCTAAGTGACTATGGCGCGGCTGCTTCATACTTCCACCAGTTGACTCCGTTCTATGGCAACAAGCATTGGGCCGTTTTGGAGGGCGTCATGCTGGAGATGTACGCACGTTGCCTGAAAGAGCTGGAACGTAGCGAGGAATATGTGCGCACTATTCTTCGCCTTCTCGCCAAGTTTGCCGCTTGGACAGAGTCGAACCTGTCAAGCCGTCAGAAGACTCTAGATGCCTCGCACATCTTCGCTGAGAATGCTTTGGTCTCTGAATATGTTGATGAGCTTTTCAAGGCCTCCGGGGCCTTGAACAAAGAAGTGTTTGCACCAATGACCGATTTCTTTGGTGACCTCAAAGTCCAGCCGACCATTATCCATTATGGAGACAGGGATGGGTTTCAGTTACAGCTTGCCTTGAGGTTTCTGCTCGGCAAGCGGATTGAAATCAATTCGCTCAAGTTGCGGCTAGTCAGCGCCCTTGGACCTCAGAGCAATGAGCACTGTTTAGAGATGCCGACAGGGATGACCATCAAGTCATCCTCGACGAAGGTGCTTGTAGATTCAGCGGTGAGTATAATTTAATCATGTCCCGCTCTCAATCTAGGATGCTGACCATGAAAAGGTTTCGCTTCAAGGGAAATACTTTGTGGACCGCATCGAGATACGTGTGAGGAACCTCATCTTTACATTAGCGGGTGGAAGAAACGCAACCCTGCCCATTGGGTTTAGAGAAGCAATAGAGGCAGAAGAGGAAGACAGCCGCCCATACATTTATTGCTTTCCACCACCGGACGGCCTGCAGGCAAGGATCGTTTCCCCGCATCTTGTCAACCTGCAAGAAATGCGGACGCTGGAGCTGGAACTCAACAGCGGATGGAACGATATCAAAACAGGCACCCTGCGTGTTAGGCCAGCCACTGCTGGTCTGCGACTGAGAATCGCAGAGGCGGAGTTGGTCGAAGGCGAGATTCAAATCAAAGCCAACAGCGATTCAGGCACCATTGAGTTCAACGAACTGAAGCCGAAATCATTTGTTCGACTCCGGATCCCTTATACGGTGGAGGAGCATCATCCGATCTTGTCTGCAAGGGCAGAGGTGACCTATGAAACGGGCAGTGGGTCGTTTTCGTACTCTTCCATTCACAAAATCAATTCAGGTTTGCCAATCAGCGTCAACGTGCAGGATATTTTCAAGAACGACGTGCTGTTTTCCCGGTTTACAATCAGCCCGGCCTTGATGATCCCTCTTCGAATCTTGCGATGCAACATTCCTAGTTCGAATGCCTACGAGGTGCAATCAAGCATTGGTGACTCTGTGGCGCTAGATGTATTTCCCAAGCAGCCCGCCTCCTTGATATACAAAATCCGGCGGAAGCAGGACAATGTCTCCTCCCCTGGTTCCAGACGCTCACTCCGGCTGAGTGTGGATTTCACATGCGTGGATGATGAGTGCATGGATGCCGTGGAAAAGGCATTCCACTCTAGCATCATGGCTAGTGAATTCCACCCATACAGCACGTTACTTACGGCCCATATTGTTGATGCGTTCCGCACCCAATTGTCAACCTCCGACATGGAGATCGTTGGCCTGGTGCGAGAGGTGGAAACGTTGGGGTATGCGAATGCTCGATGGGAAGGATTACTGGGCGCGCTGAAGGAGCCACTGGACGGACTGAAAACGTGGCTCAAGGATTGGCACAAGGTGAGAAGTAGCCAGCGCATTAGCCGTGCTTCCCTCGCACTCAAGTATACTGACAAACGCACAGAACCACCCGGTGATTCGTCTCCCAGCATCGCCCACTGTGCCTAATAGACACATTGTCATTCCGGTTGACATTCCTGAAATCCCAGTTGTCCATACAGCCGAGCTTCGCCTCACCAATCTGACGGGCCAACATCGACACGCCGCAGTTGGGCAAATGATCGCCGCCGAACTCACTATCCATCACACTCGGCGCTGGTGCTCAGCTGAACAACGTGAACAGGCCAGTGGATCGCTCGAATTTACATATGAGCTTCATGCCAACCCCGACTCGTGGTTGATTGGCGGTCGACGTCGCGGAAACTTTACCGCCGAAGAGGGGGAGACTAAGACATTTGCGATCATGCTCCTACCCCAGAAGGCTGGCCACCTTCTTCTTCCCGGGCTAGAGATTAGAAGCTTTGTACCACCACCGCCCTCGTCGTCGGGAGCCCCGCCGCCACCGATTACCCCTAAGCTGCAGCCCTCGACTGGAGGGGCGGCGGCGGCGGCAGCAGCAGCAGCAGCAGCAGATCCCGGGCCAGCCACGAGCGGGCAGCTACAACGACGACCCATTCCTTGTGAGGTAGATTACCGTAACCACGGGGAGACGGTGTTGGTGCTACCGGATCTGCGGACGACGACGGTGAGCCTTTCCCTATCGGGCGGCAGCCATGGCGGAGCATGGTTGGTTGATTCCGAGCGACTCCATCAATCTGCAAAGAGTACGAGTGCATAGACTTCAACAACAACTTGCAGATGATTTTTAGAAGGGGGGTTCCTGGCCTTATGATTCGTCTGTACAAACATATATAGATAGATACCTACATACATACATATATCCAAGGACAGGATCGCCGCCTTCAGCTTAAGATACTCAGTAGATATTATCGTTGGTATGTCAAGAGCAGCAGCATGCATAGTTACTCGGCGCGGTTGAACCCCAAGGTTCGAAAATTTCACACCCAGCAAAACAGGTATCCTCCAAATTACAGCCGGGAACACAAAAAAAACCACGACCACGCCAATGTTCAAACTAAAAAAATACAGTTTAGCACCCCCGAGAGCGCCGCCGCCGCCGCGCGCCCCTCTTTCCCCATCAAATCAGCACCACGCAATCGAATGACAAGCGGCCACCCATTCGTCGTAAGTGATTTGCTTTTCAAGGTTGGCATTCTTTCCCTTCCCGATCCAACCACCTCCCGGGAAGTCAGCCCCACCAGCCTGGCCGGGGAGGGATGGATCTCAACAAAATCGATGGTGTGCCCCAACAGAAGTCTTTGACATGCAGGGATTTTTTTCCTTTTTTTCAACTTACTCGAGCACGGCTACACATGACTAGTGTTTGTTCGGTATAGAGGAGTTCCGGACTCAGGTCATTTCGGCTTCATTTAATTTACTCTGTAGGAGTTTTTGGGGCTGGATTAAATTGATCTGATGATCTTGGGATGCGTAGGTAGTTTACATATACTCATACCGTAGTAGTAGTGAAGTTGTTGGGAGGTGATATTATCGGCAGTCAGCCCATCGTTCGCAGCATGTTGAACACAGCACTGTAGACAAAGCTCAGTCAGCTCTTATCACATGTGCTGCTCTTCTTGGTACTCCTGTCTGTAAAGTGTTGTGTACTGTCCTCCGTACACTGTACTCAGGAGAAGCCGTTCGCATCGACGGTGGCAAGACGCAGAGAGGACTCTCGAGTCGGGAGCTCCAGGCTCGAGGAGCGGCAATCTTCTCCTCGGCTGGGGCCAATCAGCAGTCTGGTAGATCAGGTTTCTCGCTGACAGTGGTGGAAGCCAAATGGAAGCGCGAGGTGATCCACTTTTCGAGCTGACTGGTCCGTAGTTCTTCAGAATCTTTCCAGTGTGTCTTTTGCTGGCCCGGTCGGCGATGTTTGTCTCAGTTAGTTGCATTACATGCTCAAAGTATGAGTATGAGTATGAGTAGTGAGCACCCTTTGTACAGAGAAGAATGCGAGGTGGATTACATGGTAGTTGGGGTTTCGCTATCCGATCAAGAAAGAGTCGAGACTGAGCCGGGTCGATCTGAGCTGAGCATGAGTCGTGCTGAGATGAGATTGGCAGAGAGTCAGAGACTGAATGATGATCATGGCCATGGGGAAGATGACCACTGCTACCAGGGAAAGTCGGGATGGGTTTTCCGAGTGGCATGTGAAATGGGGGTCCCTTGTTGGGGCCAGGCCTGATCAGTTTGATAAGCCTACAACCGCATCATCTCCGGTTGATTATTTCTCCACTCCCTCCCTTCTCCCTTTATTCAGGTGTCTGTTTCAAGATGACAACTTCACAAACCAAAGCTCGGATCATGGAAGACCAATCAAACTGATGGCAATGCCACTCAAGAGAGATATGGCCTTTGAGCTAGTGGTGGCGGGTGCTTTGCTGAAGCTGAACAAAAAGAAAACAAAAAAGACAAAAAAAGATGGCGCCAAGATTGTTGAGAAGCCAAAGTTCTGCAGGAGGATGTTCATTGGACCCGGTGGGGCGGTGAAGAGTCCACTCCCCTCCCCGGTTCTCGGTCCCTGGTAACGCAACGAACCATCAGTCGTATTTTTGCAACTTGTAATCTTGCAGATGCCGGCCGGCCACATGGAAAATCCCCTCGATCAGTGGTGAACACCCCAACCTCCACATCACACGGCGACTGTATGGGGCGCTTGCGGTGAAGGAAAACACCTGCAGAGGCGAGAATGGAGAACATCCCCCAAAAGGACAGCTTCAGCCACCGCCAGTCGTACGACCATTAGTCAGGACTCAGACTTTTCTCGCTCTAACTACTCAGCCTTATCGGACCCGAGGTGGCGAGAGCTCTCTCTCTCTCTCCCATATCAACCACCTCGGCGTATAGTACTCCGTACAGTAAGTAGCACTGGGCTCGTGGCTGTGGTCATCAGAGACAGAGAGTCAAAGATCAGATCAGACCTGTGAGGCGCGGCGCGCTCATCACAGTAGGCCATGCATCTCCATGCATCTAAGCATGCACCCTTGAACCTAGATCCAGCCGGCACAGCCAGAATGATAGGCTCAGCTCCAACCTCGGCATTCGTGCACAAACAAGATTGTAAAGATCGACTTTCAGCAAATCCTTGTGAGTGAGCAGCAGTCCAATGTGCCGTCTTGGACGATAATCCTAAGTGATGGGGCCAAGATGAAAGTGCACGGAGCAATCCAAGGCAAATTTGGCGATCGAGCTGAGAGCGAGATTGCAAAATACCAGCGGTGGTAACGGGCAAGATGGACTCCCAACCAATCTGGCCAATCCCGATTGTCCCAACTGATGCAAAAATTTCGAGCGGGAGATCCCCCGTACCACCGTGTTACAAGGGCCAGGGGGCGGCGATTGTTCTGTTCGGTTCGGTTCTGGATGCTGGCAAAAAAGAAGTCAGATTATTTTTCTCTCACTCAAAAAGAAAAAGATTGTTGTCTCTTGCCTCCCTTTTTGTACTTCCCTTTTGCAAATTACCTTTTCTTTTTGCCTTCTTCCCTTCGCTTTCCCCCGATTGTTTTTTTCTTTCTTTCTTTTTTTTTTTTCCCTTCCACGCTCCCTGGTTCGCCGCGCTCCCCTCCTCCCTCCCCCGGGTTCTGTGTTGAACACCTTATTATCACGCCTTATTCTTCCTCCTCTTTCTCACCTTCTTCCTTCTATCGTTCTTCTTTCCCTCTATCGTTCTTCTTTCCCTCCTCACACTCCTCTTCTCCTCATTCCATCCCCCCTCCCCCCTAAGTAGACAAAAGGCTTTCCTGAGGTGGTCAGTCAGGCTCCTCTCACTGCCCCCTGCCTTGTTGTCAATTCCCCGACCTGGTCGCTTTTCATTGTGTGGGAACCCCTTCCGTCCATTGCATCTCGGCTCTCATATCCTCCGAGCACTGCTTTGATCAATTGGTGAGTGAGAGATATGAATTTCTTGGTGGCCTGTTCTCGGGAATGTGATAAAGTCACAAGGGTCACCACGCATCGGATCGCTGGCTTTGCTAACCTCCTGTTGAAGCCCTAGTCTTCCCCTCGTATAGAGCTCGCAGATTCACCACCGGAAAGCAAAGTCAGAATGTCCTCCACGGCTCTCCCCAAGCGCGTTGCGCTGCACCGCAACCCCACCACCGACTCCTCGGTGGCCAGCTCCATCGCCCCTTCCCCGATGGACAGCCCTCGCCAGTCTCCTTCGACCACCTCCCTGTCCTCGCTGGCCTCCGAGGCGGAGGCTCGCAGCAAGATGCTGGACACCTATGGCAATGAATTCAAGATCCCTGATTTCACCATCAAGCAGCTCCGTGATGCCATCCCCGCCCACTGCTATGAGCGCAAGGCCTTGACCAGTCTGTCCTATGTCGCCCGCGACTTGTTCTGCCTGGCCACCGTCTTCTATGTCTTCCACAACTATGTGACCCCGGAGAACATCCCCTCCACGCCCATCCGTACCGCATTGTGGGCCCTCTACACCGTCGTGCAGGGTCTGCTCGGAACCGGTGTCTGGGTCCTGGCTCACGAGTGTGGACACCAGGCTTTCTCCCCGTCTAAGGTTCTGAACGACACCGTTGGTTGGGTCTTGCACTCGGCTCTCCTGGTGCCCTACTTCTCCTGGAAGATCTCCCACGGAAAGCACCACAAGGCCACTGGCAACCTTGCCCGCGACATGGTCTTCGTCCCCAAGACCCGCTCGGAGTTTGCTACTCGCGTCGGCCGGGCCGTCCACGAACTGAATGAGCTGATGGAGGAGACCCCCATCCTGACTGCTCTCAACCTGGTTCTCCAGCAGCTGTTCGGATGGCCCATGTACCTCCTCACCAACGTCACCGGCCACAACAACCACGAGCGCCAGCCCGAGGGTCGCGGCAAGGGCAAGAAGAACGGCTACTTCGGTGGTGTCAACCACTTCAATCCTTCCAGCCCTCTGTACGAGGCCAAGGATGCCAAGCTCATTTTCCTGAGTGACCTCGGTCTTGCCATCACCGGAACCGTTCTGTACCTGGTTGGCTCCAAGTTTGGCTGGATGAACCTTCTGGTTTGGTACGGCATTCCCTACCTCTGGGTGAACCACTGGCTCGGTAAGTTCTCACTTCCCTGTTTTTCTTGGTTAGATGACCGCTAACCTCAACCGCTAGTTGCCATCACCTACCTCCAGCACACTGATCCCACTCTCCCCCACTACCACCCTGATGTCTGGAACTTCGTCCGTGGTGCTGGCGCCACCATCGACCGTGACTTCGGCTTCGTTGGCCGTCACATCTTCCACGGCATCATCGAGACCCACGTTCTCCACCACTATGTCAGCACAATCCCCTTCTACAACGCTGATGAGGCTAGCGAGGCCATCCAGAAGGTCATGGGCAACCACTACCGTACCGAGGCCCACACCGGATGGACTGGTTTCTTCAAGGCCCTCTGGACCAGCTCCCGTATCTGCCAGTGGGTTGAGCCCACCGAGGGCGCTGAGGGCGAGAGTGCCGGTGTCATGTTCTACCGTAACACCAACGGTATCGGTGTCCCCCCCGCCAAGGTTGCCCAATAGATCTGTTCTCGGTCGATACATAGAACGCGCGTCGGTTTTTTCCCCTCGACTCTCCCGATTAAGGGGGTTGTGTTATTTCTGTCTTGTTCAAATTTTTTTTCCGTGGTGCTCTCGCAGGATCGAATTGGCCACGACATGATCAGCACTCGTCATAGAGCATCTGCTGCGAGTTGATCGATCGGCATTCGAGCGCTGAAGGCGTATATGGAGTGGAAGTGGGAGCAAGCGGGGTCGGGTTAATTGTGATTGTTGGATTGTTGTAAAGAAAACACAAAAGCAAAAACACCCATTCTTTCTCAACTGGCCGTTTATCAATATCTTGGGAGCCATTTCCCTACTTTTTATTACCTTCCAGATGTCCTCATCACTCATCATCTCGTGTATGACTTCTGAGCTCAATAGAATAATGTCTGCATCGTTCAATGTTTAGCATATTTATCCGCCGTGTTAACGCTTCGTCCGTCATGAACCGCTCCGAGCTCCAGGTCGCACAATGGTGTCCGTCGTTGCATATGACATGGAAATAATCAAACCAACATTTTCCGAGCAAAAGTTCCGTTACTCAGTAGGAGAAGTAGTAGAGTGGAGACCTGATCAAGTTTATCGACATGACATGGATGACATGGCCTGGCATTCTAGACCGGCACAGCCCTGCAGATTTCTGACCCAGAGTCCTCAGCGGGGCCAAAGAATAGTAGACCAAAGTCTGGGTCGCGGGGGTTCCGCAAGAAAGAAAGCTGGGGGGTGGATGAAGGGAGGGAGAGGAGGGGGGGGGGAGGTATAAGGGTCTTCTTGGGACGAAATCCTTTATTCCTTTAAAAATAAAAATAAAAATAAAAATAAACGTTCCCCCCGTCCGCGGGCTTCCGCCCGTGCCGGATACTCTGGAGAGGGGTGCGGCGCTAGTCCGAAATAAGCGTGGGCATGAGGCATGAGTACTGGAGGTGTATAAGTGTGCACAGCATATACAGTACTACAGTGCCTGGATTTAAGAAGTCTAGGTCTGCTTCTTGGTTGGGGTTGGGGTTTATTGTTGTGTACCATAGTTGTGGTTGTTTATATGAGGGGATAATCAACGAGTATGTGGATACTCAATAGGTATAGGGTGTAGCGCTCTGGATCATGCGTCTGTAGTCTTTGAATATGTGAGGTTCAGTATGAACAGGAGGTATCTATATACTGTGATGCTGTCGCCTGGGTCCGATAATGTACTTGTTATGAAGAACATCCCCGGATCCCCCCCTTCCAGATCTCGAACTCGACTTCTTCTTGGGTGGATGGTTGTTGGAGCTGCGGGGGTGATTGGTCTTCTTCGGTCGGGTGATGGGTGCTGCCTCCTCCTCCTCCTTCTCCTGTGTCTTTTCGACCTCCGGTCCATGGAGCGAAAACTACCTTGAAGGCTCGGCGGATGGTTTGCGGGGTTGTGCGTTGCGTTGAGCGGGGGAGGAGGTGGTGGTGGTGGGTTGTTGAAGGATTCGTGGTGGCTGAGAATGGTGCAGTTGGGGCTTGAGGACTTGTTGGGGCGGGTGATGGGGATTCTGATTGCTGCGTGTCTGGTGGGGGGTTGGCTTTTTGGGGAGAGGAGGATGGAGTAGGATTGGGGATTGTGGTTGCTGGTTGCTCATCAGTAGCAGCAGCAGCAGTAGCAGCACCGCTGAACTTCACTGCTGCATCATCTGATGGCTCGAGTTCTTCGGGGTCAGAATCGGAATTGGCGATTTCTGCCTTCTGTTCTTCTTCCTGGCTTGTGCTTGTTGCTGCTGCTGAGGTTGTGGTGGTGGTGGTGGTGATATCCAACAAAGCTCCCTCGTGCTCACCCTTTATGTTGGTGGGCCCAATAATCTGATCAGGGGCTTTGATTGCCTGCGAGGCATCGCGATAAGGAAATTCGTCATCATCGTAGGCGCCCTCAAAATCAGAGACTCCTAACGAGCGAGTCTCCTTCTTCAAGGCAATCCGACATGCAATTTGCGTCGACCACACCAGCCCCAGCGTTGGAGTTTTGGAGGTCGACCTCCACAACCCCGGGTCATAGCTCGGAAACAGAGACTGGGGGGTGTCACCCCATCCTGTGAAGAAGCGTTGCTGGTGCACGAGACTCAGGATCTCGTTGCGGACAGGGTTCCCGATGAGGTACGAGCCGTCGAACTGTTGCTGCTGCTGCTGCTGTTGCTGCTGAGGATCGTCGTCTGCGAGTGGGAACGGTGAGGAGGAGAATGGAGGCTGAGAGGACGGTGCGAGCATAATGTTGCCGTGGTGGTGATTTATGGGAGTGAGGTCTACGTTGCTGGTTTCGGCAGCTCGGGAATTGCGGGGAAGGGGTGATAATGCTCCACCACCTGCACCGGGTTCGGCTCGTGGTATCCGTTGTTGCTGCGGCTGTTGAGTAGAGGGTGCAGATGAGTATGCGGTGGCACCACCAGGACGAAACAGATTCGATGGTGTGTCGCTGTCGATGCGATCCGAGACTTGATTGGCTACGACGATGGCTATGTCTTCGGCGACGGCGAGGGTGCGTAGCAATTGGCCCAATCTGGCGAGTTCGCCGGAGCGGGTGGAGAGACCTGATAGGTTGTGGGAGGAGTGCTCCGCTCTGTAGTTGGAGGTGATGGAGTCAATGACCACCAGTCCAACGTTGTAGCGCTTGATCGCGACGGGGAGCTGGTAGTTGAGGATGTGATCTTGGCTCTCAAGGTCCATCGCGTTGATGGAAAGGACCCTTTCGAGGGAGGGGGCTTGGTCTTTGCTAATCTCAGAGAGGTAGGGGTGGCATGCAATGAGCTGAGAAAGTCGCGGTGTCGATAGCGGAGCTTCGGTCGAGATGTAGATCGCATTCTTCGCCAGGCCCCGAGGCGCAGGCAGCTGGACGGCCAGAAGGAGAGTGAGGAGGAACTGCGTCTTGCCGCTTCCACTACAATCCGCGTTAGTCCGTTCATGCCTTCTGAATGCGCATATAGAGTAGTGGGACAAGCCAACACACGCACCTCTCACCCGTCACTTCGGTCACGTAGCGAGTCGGTATCCCTCCATCGAGCAGTGCGTCTAACGTGGGGTCGAGCGTGCTGATCGCACTCCATTGCGACAGATCTAGCGTGCTGGCTGGGCCTGGAGCGACAGGGAGATCCTCACTGAGGCTGGAGCCTGGCTCTTCCGTGTCGGGGCCTCTGATCTCTTCGAATCCGACATCGTGATGAAGCGCTCGGATGATCTGAGTGGACAATCGGCGGACGTCGGCTGCGGGGACGTGGGCGCGTTTGGCGATCTCGAGGATGTCGAGGGTGATCAGATCGACGGTGGTGATATGATTCCGCTCCAGAGGAGGGAGAATATGGGAGTACCGTTTGGTTGGGAAGTCCGGGAGGACCGACAAAAGATCCATAAGCGTGAGAAACTCGAATGAAGCAGAAGTCGAGGCTGCCCGCCATCAACGGTTCCGCGGCGGCGACGCGGAGAAGACGCGGCCGCACGTGCTGCGCCATCACTAATTGGTCTTCCCAATTGGGATCATCACATCTAGATCTATGACGTTGATTATGAAGCGCGACCTCATCAACTAGATCGATTTCTGCTATTCTCGCTCGGTATTCTAGACTTGCTATATGTCGTCACGGTCATTCTCTACTCCTCGTTTCTATTTTCCGTCCAGCCTCTGAACAGGAATGGGCACAGTAAAGCCGCAATTGACACTTTGGATTGATCAAGTCGAGGTCACCATCATACCGAACAGTCCGAGGTGGTCAATGACTGTGCTGTGCTCTCAACCCACTATTTGAAGCTATATGGGAAATCTTTAGAGGAATCGTGGTGAGCTTCCCAACATTCGGCGCAATATCAGTACAGGAAGCTCTGCCAGCAGTTCTCAGACCTCGGATGGTGTTTTTTACGATCTTGATTGTATATATCTCACCGAACAGAAGAGAATTTGCGCTGCCGATTCTTTATTTCTTTGACAGTGAAAGAAGATAGCTTGCCACTTGGAAACCGGCCTTTCCCCTCAAGTGAGGCTCACGACCAATGTACTCGTTTCAGCGGACTGTGATATCTTACCCTAGAGAAAAAAGCCTCTGCCAAAAGCCTCATGACTAAGATCTCCGTGTCTCTGGGCTTGTGCTTGGCCCTCTTCAAGCCTCCTCCTTCAAGACGACTTTATGCAGACATGGACCCGATAATCCTATTCTCCCGGTACTGATGCCTTCCGGAAAAGCAACGGCTTGCGGCATCGACGCCGAGTGGGAGACGATTCGCTGGCCGTGAAACATGGAACGAAAAATTCCCCGACGAGCAGATTGGTGCAACCTTGCAACGCATAGCCTGCTGTCCTCGTATCCCAGTACGGGACGGACAACAGTCCAGGATGGCTGAAACTAGGATCATCGCAAAGCCCATTCAGTCACCCAGTCCCAGCGGCATTCTTGATCGCAGGATTGGACATGATGCATCATCCATATCCCGGGTCGAGGATTATCGTTCGATGGTGCAGGGATCTTCGAGGATGGACGGATGAGTGTCGATAGTCCTGTATCGCAAGTCGAACGCATCATGTTGTAGAAGGTGGATTATCGCACGGACGACTTGTGCGAGGGAGCGTTTAACTCCTCTCGGGATCGGGAAGTGTTCCCGGTAACTTGGAAGTTTAAAGCTCCCTCTTCTTGAAGGTTGGAGCAAGGAAGACCAACCCGGAGAATATTGGTCTGGGGATATTGGCCCGGGATATAGATATGGGGCAGACGTGACGCGTTTGTGTTTCACGGGAGCTTTTTATGGAAACGTTGCCCCAGATCGCATTTCGTTCGCCCTACTTTTTTTTCTTCTGTTTTCTCTGAATGTAACGATGGAGGTGAAGGGCGATGATGGGATGGGTATGCACAAATTACGGGGTAGAACCTCACGGGCTTGTAGGTAAACCGTGCGCATTCTAGGTTGGTCTACGGAGTAGCAGACTAGGAATGGAATAGCTGACATGTGCGTCAGCCTTATTCAGGTCTATTAGGACATTTACT